TGCCCTTTGATGCTGTCGGTTTAGGGAATCATACCACTCCTTATTTGAACTCGGTGTTGATACACTCAAAAATGATACACTTGCGGGGAGCTGTCAGCAGAGTATATTCAGTAAAGCGACTGGCAAGTTCTTTATGATCATGGGGACGACCATCTCGTCGCCTTTATCTGTCACGCCGAGGAGCTTTTGCCTCGTCCTTTTTCGACGCTCTGGAATTCTCTTGATCCCTTGAATATCTCGCTTTGTACGCGACTTATTTTTCCTCGTATTGGATGTAAGATTGTGCCTTGCAGAGGAGTTCGACCAGAGAACAAGGCGATTCGATCCCCACTATTTTGTAGAAATCACTCTTTGGCCTTAGTCCCTTTTCTATAAGGTATTTTTTCATGTGGTTGGTCATGCAGATCTCGACTGCTTCCTTCTTAAACCTCTCGATGTAGTCACAGAGGGGCTCATCCTTGCCCTGTATTATGCCTTCAAGCGTAGCTTCTAACTTCGGGTGGCGCCTGAAGGCAGTGAAATGTTGGGCAAACTGATCTTTTAGGCTCCTCCACAAGGTGATCGAGCCCCGAGGAAGATTTTTATACTAGGCCATAACTCCCTTTCGAAGGGTGATGGGGAACATCTTGCACTTGATCGCTCCACTTACGTTGTGGTAATGTAACATGGCCTCAATGTTCTCTACATGGTCGCCACGATTTGTGGTACCATCATAGAGAGCCAGAGGGGGAGGCTTCTCTAGCCCGTGAGGAATACGGGTGTCCATGATCTCTTGGGATAAAGGTCCATGAACATCGTTCTCGTCGCTCGTGCTTGACGGCCTTCTCGGGAAATGACTACGTGTGTGACTCCTACCGCTTCGAAGAGATTGCCTTTGTCGACTACGATGTTCTTCGCGAGGCTTTTCTAAAGGCCTGGTCCTCTTGGGTGCCAGAGAATTTATAGACCTCCGGGGAGAGGCACGATATTGTTTTCTTGTGATCTCATGCCCAAATTTCTCCGACTTTGATCATTTCTTGACTGGGCAGATGCTTCGAGACTCGTCTTGCCGACGTTTATGAGGAGGAGAACGAGAATAGGGAGAAGGACTGAGAGGTTTCTGCAGGGGAGGCCGTTCTGCGAGGGTGTTTTGCAACATGTGGATCTTCTCGCCTTGTTGGAAAATCATGTAGTTGGATTTATCGAGGGTAGCGATAAGAGCCGTAGTATAGGGATCAACATCTTATGGGACAAGGATGGGCTCGTAGATGTGATCGGAACTCTGGATGCGGGGTTTCACGTTATCAGAGGATGAAAAGGCAGTCTTTCCATCCATGTGATCAGTCTCGCAGACCGCAACTCCAAGATTGGGGATTTCGCCGTTACCCAAGGCGACGACGACGATAAAATCTTGATGGATGTCATTGTTATAGTGAAAGGCCATGACGATGAATGTATATAGAGAAAAAAAGCTTTGGTCTTTGGTTTGAAAAGATTGGGGGATCTTGGTTCAAGAAAGACGGGGGAGCTGGGTTCCCACAAACGGTGCCACTGATATGGAGTAATCAGAATGGATCGTCGTAGCCTTCAATGTAGGGCATGAACAGTGGTTGCAGGAGAGGAGAGGGGTGTACCTACAAGGTACTCCGATGCTAATGTAAGTTTGGGCTAGAAAGAGAGCAAATACAAGTGTTTATGTATGAGTTAGAATGATTTGAATACTTGACCCTATCAAGTGAGAAGGTATTTATGAGAATCCCCTAGCGCGGGCCAAGGTCTCCGATGTGGCCGAAATATCTGGTCGGCCAATGAGAGACTGTCATGTGGAAGATCTAGCGCGTGATCTTTGACCTGGTCCAATTGTCCCTGTGAATTCCGGAGGGACAGTTGATCGCGTGAACTGTCAAGCGCATGAGGGGGATGTCCCCAACGACTATATTCCCTAACGACTATATTGTACCCAATAGTCATATTGTGCCCAACGACTATGTTGTGCCCAACGATTAGATATTTTTAATCTCCTTATTGGACCTTGCCTAAAGTTGGACTGAATTAGGTCTTGCCCAACTGTGGGTCATGTGCCATTCCAGTCCATAACATAAACATGTTTGGAAACATAAACTCTTGAACCATATTTAGAAATATAAGCAGCTTTAAAAAAAACACCATGGAATGAATAGTTCGAAAGATGACGTGCCTTTAAAGTTGTTCAATGGTGATGGAAATTAGAACCTATACAAAGAAAAATGGAAGAAAGTTTATGAAGAAAAAGAGGAAGAAATATAATGAATAAATAAGGCAAAATACCCTTTTTGGTCCCTTAACTATATCCTTAGGTTCAGATTGGTCCCTTAATTATTTTGTGTTAGATTGATCCCTTAACTATTTAAAACGTGTCATATTGGTCATTTTTGTCTAATTAGCGACGAATTTTTAAATTTTTTTGTCGCTAATTAGACGAAAAAGACCAATATGATATGTTTTAAAGAGTCAAGGGACCAATTTGACAAAAAAAATTAAGCGACCAATCTGAACCTAAGAGTATAGTTAAGAGACTAAAAAGGGTATTTAGCCAATAAATAACATTGAACCGAGAGAATATGTTAGTATAAAAGAAGAAATATAATAACTATCTTTTAGTACGAATAAGAGAATTACAATTTCTACATGTGGAATATGAAAGAAAAAGAAGATAAAATATGTTAAGGTTGTGCTTTAAGAGACGACGTCTATTCTATCAAGAAAACTCTCTTATATATATGTTAAATATTTTACCACATTTCTACTATAAAACCGTGATAAAATTTAATACCATAGTTTCTTTTACTAACTGTGGGAATATATATATATATATATATATATATATATATATATATATATATATATATATATATATATATATATATATATATATATATATATATATATATATATATATATATATATATATATATATATATATATATATATATATATATATATATATATATATATATATATATATATATATATATATATATATATATATATAAAAGGACAATATTCTATATAATAAAAAATAGAAAATTATTGACATTGAGAATCGAACTCTGTCACTCGATATATATTTAATTATGATTGTTTATAATAAAATATCTTTTAATAAACTAAGTCGGGAGAGAGAAATGAATAAGTAATTTGTCTTTCATCAAATGACTTTTTTTATTTAATTATTCATTATAAATTCTAAACCGTTAGATTAAAAACATGAGAGATAACATAATATATAAAAAAAGAGAGGATCCAAATCCCTTAATATGACATTAAAAATTGCCAAGTGCAATCATCAAATGCAATTTAAGAACTTGCTACTAAATTAAGATACTAAAGAGTGCAACCAATCAAGACATGGTGTGTTCTTACATGAAACAAAACCAATATTTAATTTCACCTTAATACAAATCTAACACACTATAATGAACAATACAAATTCTTAAAATAAATATAAATTAACACAATGACGTGTAAACAATAAACACCTTGGTGTAAAAGAAAAATATCACCACTATTTAAATTTGTGAAGGCGGTATTCATTTGTCACGAACATATAAATGATTCTTTTTGTAGTTATAAAAATTTCAATACAAAAAGTAGTCAACTTAAAATCAAAATAAATAAAATAAAAAGTTAATGGGATAAAGATAGTTTAAAAAATAATAATAATTAAATAATAAAATAGAACAAATATTAAAAAATAAATAAAATATATAATTACAAAATTATTCTCAAAATTTGACGTAAAAAATTGTTAAAAGACTTAATAATTTTTATATATAAAATATAAAAAATGTGACAAAAATTAAGGTATTATCACGATTAACTAAACGACCGTTGTAATATGATGTTATCGAATATATATTTATAGTAGTGGAATAATGAGAATAATAATACACACTTTAAATCTACCCCCTTTTGAATCTGTTTGTACTATATTATTTGGTTTTATTAATTTAAAATATTAATTATATGATAAATGTTGTGATATTTTTGTTTGTAATTAAAATTTTTAAGATTGTTTTACTTTATTAATTGTAATATAATTTGATGTTGGATAAAACAACTATTTGAATGGAGGAGAAGCTGAAATACCCTAATTCGTATAAGACGAGTTTGAGATTTAATTCTTCATCTCCAACAAAATTGATGTAGAGAACAAAAATTTATAATAGTTAAGATTGAGTAAAAAGAGATAAACATGATCATTCATCTATCCTATATCTACAAAAAGAGATAAAATAAAAAAGAAATAAAAACAAAAAAAAATTAAGTTATATTTAATAAAAAAACACAACACAAAAAGAATTAAAGCACAATTATAGATAAATTGTGTTAGAGTGTTTTAAATATTTCATTTACAAATTAGTTTTTTTTAACTCAAAACCGTTTTTATGCCCGAAATGATAGTTAGATTAAATAATAATATAATATATATATATATATATATATATATATATATATATATATATATATATATATATATATATATATATATATATATATATATATATATAATGAATAACTCTTTGTTAATTAATGTGGTATATTATGAGATATGTTTAGATTAAATTTAATTTTTTTATATTTAAAAAATATAATTGAATTATTTAAATAATTAAAAAATGTGAAATAATATAAAAAATTTAAGAGTTTAATGTTTGAGAGTATAAAAATAATTTAGGCACCACCCATTTTATTTCATTTAAAGAAAAAGAAAACAAATTATTTAGAGGTGGATACTCTTAAACACCAAGAAAATTACTCTCACGTGTAAAAAAACCTATTCTCATTTTATTTCAGATTAAAACGTCGTCGTTTGCTGTGCATTACTTTCTCTCTCTCTCACTCTTTGCTTCCCGCTCCGCTTTCATCGTTCCGCTTCAGTCCGGACCAGAATTTGGGGTTTAGGGTTTTTCTCCCTCTTCTGCAATTCCAATTCTTGATTCTTCATTCACTTCTCTTTCTGTCTCTACACCGTAGTTGCAATGATGTACAATGACCCTCATAACCCTCAGCACCAGCACCCGTATCAACAACAGCAGCAGCAACAGCATTTTCACCATCCGCAGCCAGGTATGGAATTCCACCGTGGACCTCCTCCGCCGATGCCTCAGCAGCCTCCACCTATGATGCGGCAACCTTCCGCTTCTTCCACTAACATCGCCCCGGAGTTTCACCATCCCGGACCTGGAGGCCCCCCAGGTCCTCCTCCTCATTACGATGGTTCGATTTCTTTTTCTCATGTGTGGTTTACTATTATTTAATATTTGTTTATTGTTTTTGAAGAAATGTTTGATTGTTTTAATAATGCGTGAACTTCATACATCCAAGATCAGTGTTTGATTTTGTGATTTTTTTTTCTGATGATATTGCCCTAGTTGATGACTGGAGTGAAGTAGTAAATTTATTATGAACTTGATTTGTGGACAAAAAGTTTGCAGTTGAGTGGTTTTCAGTTAATTGGTAAGCAAGGGGATGGAATAAATGAGATGCAAGTTCAGTAAGATTTTTAGTAGTCAACATTTTATAGGCTAGTTTTGCTTTGGGTAATGGTGTCCCGAAGCTCGAGTTTTAGGTATGATGGATATAATTTACAAAATGATGAGGGGAATGAAGGGGGTTGTTACTGTGCGTATGATTAAAATTGGGTGATTGAACTAGAGAAATACTTTAGGTGTAGTTTGCGATAATGGTAACAAGTAGGTTATCGAAACACAGGAGAATTATACTGGACAGAATATATGACCGTTGATGCTCTATAGCGTAAGTGAACTGTTCAAGAGTGGATTAGTGACAAGAGCAAAAGGCTAATATTTCTGTGATGAGAATGCTGAGGCGGAATATTGTAGGGAAAGATAAGATAAGAAACGAAAGGGTGTTAGGGAAAAAACTGGAGTAGCACACATGCTGAGAAAACGATAGTTTAAGTGGGCCTTAGATGGTTTAGTTGTGGGTGAAGATGACCACTAAGAGTGAGAGGTTTTTACTTTTAAAGCCCATTGGGACCTGCTGATATGACAGTTTGTTAAGTGTAAATGCTTGCCATGATTATTGTACGTGTTTTGGCAGGAGTCATGCTTATCTATCTTATTTTCTTTGGGTAAAATAGTAATATGTTTTTGTATAGTCTCTTTCATATATGGTTATGAAGATTTTTTCCTAAGGCGGCATTGAGTTGAATGGACATTACAAGCTAATTTGTTAAATTTTTGCTTTTGAAGTCATATTTGTTTCCTCTATTTGCGAGGATACCACAATTTGATTTTGCAACTCTTTCCCTTACATTAATTCTTTTAATTCACAACAAAACAACCCTCTACTGCATGTATGAGACGAAGCTTGAGATGTAAGCAAAATGTCTCCACCCTCACATTTAGTTCATGGCATTAATATTTATATATCTTCTTCATTGTCTTTAAGCTTAGCTAAATTTGTTGAATTTTTTGGTTTGGGGTATAGCAACTATTGTAGTTGTAATTAAATAGCAAATGTTTTTATTTACAGTTCATAATGATATCCATGGTGCAAAAAGAATGAGAAAGCTCACTCAGAGGAAAGCAGTTGATTATACGAGTACAGTTGTGCGCTATATGCAAGTAATGGTTACCGCTTTAATCATAAATCACAGTTGAGTTGGAAATATGTGTGTATTCCTCCTTGGAAATTCATATTAATCTAAATCTTCTTTCAGATACGTATGTCGCAGCGTGATTCAAGAGATAGGACAGTACTGCAATCTACCCCAGCAGCAGCAATTGATGTGAGTGAGCTTCTTTTTTATGTTGTGTATGTGTTTTCTATTTAGTAAGTGTCACGAACCAACTGTCCCAAAACCTAAAGCTTCACAATGAGTACTCTTGAATGATTTTTATACTATCTCTTTAACACGCCCTCTCATACAAGTGTCCCTTGGGCTTGAGGGATGGATAATGCAATGACCACCTACCTTTCATGCAAGTGTCCCCTGGGCTTGAGGGATGGATATTGCAATGACCCGCCTACCCGCCTACCTTTCACTTAAATTTAACTTTTCTAAAAAATGGGGGTGGCAAAGGTTTAGCAGTATACTGTTAGATAATGAGGCTATGATACTATGTTAAGAATCACTCTCCCAAAAGTTCAAGCACTTCGGTTACCTTTTCTTTATATTATTTTCTTGTGCTATCTTTGATGCAGATGTTGCCAGCAGCTGGCTATTCAGACAATCCATCCACAAGCTTTGCTGCTAAATTTGTTCATACATCTCTAAATAAAAATCGTTGTCCTATCAATCGTGTTCTTGTAAGTTATAATGTTATATCAAAGGTTGTGAACATGTGATTGACTTATATTTTGCGATGATTATTTACACATATACCAGATGTATTTTTTCTTCTTGATTTGTTTAAACACTTCTAAACAGATGGTGTTCTATATATGATTCGATCTTATTAAGCTTGGATAGAACATTATGGTAGAATTTGATCCATGTAGCCAACCCCACTTAGTGGGACAAGGCCTGGTTGTTGTTGTATGTAAATTGTCTTAATTGTGTTGTGTATACCAATGGTAAAATCTGATGCCAATTGTTTAGAACATATATAAATTAGATATCCAGTTAACTTGTTTCGTTATTTCCTAACTTAGATTTATTTGAAATAACACGATCTCCATAAATGCATTTGTTATGACAATTTTCTTCAATTTGGTATTTTCTTGTTAGGCACGTTGAGCTTTTCATTTTGAGTCTTTTTAGATTTGAGTTATTTCACGTAATTCTAGTAGTTTTAGCGAATGACACATTTGTTCAATCAGTTTACATTGCCCCTTGAAAAACAAATGTACTACATCATGAGAAAGAATTAGTCTCTGGAGATTGGTTCATGTGGATGTTCTTCAGAAATATGCTGAACCAAACCAAGGATACAATTATTTGTGTTCACGATTCTAGGATTGAATAAAAGATATTTTTTTGGTTAATGTCTCTCACCTAGTAAACATCAGTTATGTGTTAAATGCATGTTCTATTCAAATAGTTACTACCAATGACATTTAGCCTCTCAGTCCAGTTCTTGGACTGTCTTGTACTCTTGTTGTATAAAATTTGTTTACCTATCAAATTGAAATTTATTTACCTAACAAAGGGAGTTTGTCTTATTGATAATAAGTTAAAAGGAACCTGTCATGCAACCTGCCTGCTTTGTTTAGCAAATTATTTGACAGCTTTATACAACTTATTATCAAACACATGGTTGTGTTGTTTCATTGGATCTTGTTATTTTAAAATCTTTGTACAAAATCCTATGTGGTGTATTATATTGAGTTGTGTGTTTCTATAATGTCTTCACTTCAATTAGTTAAGGAAAATGGTAGTTATTTATTGTGAATTTATTCAATGTGCCACTAAATTGCATTTTACTGACTTTGTGATGCTATCCCACTATTTATATTTCAAAAAAGTGGACTCCTACAGGTCGGCGTCTCATTACCGGCTCACAGACCGGAGAATTTACTCTTTGGAATGGGCAGTCTTTTAATTTTGAAATGATACTTCAGGTACATAACTTTAATTATTGTCTTGATGTTACTACCATAGTCTTCAGTAACTAAAGACTGTAAGAAGCCGACGTTTGGATTCCAAACATGTGCAGGCTCATGATCAAGCAATCAGATCCATGGTCTGGAGTCACAATGACAACTGGATGGTCTCTGGTGATGATGGGGGAGCAATAAAGTAAATATTTAATTTCATATACCATGTGGTTTCTTATAAGCTTCATATTTACATATATTGAATTAGATTTTGTGTTTAAAGGCACAAATCTAATTATAAATATTGATATTTGTGGGTCAACTTTCTAGGTATTGGCAGAACAACATGAACAATGTTAAAGCCAACAAATCTGCTCATAAAGAATCAGTCCGTGACTTGAGGTAGATTTTTTTTATATTTTAAAATATTACTATAAAAATAAATTTTATAACATTGTGTGGAGGAAAGGTGCTGTAATTCTTTCATAAACAGTTTCTGTAGGACAGATTTGAAGTTCTGTTCGTGTTCTGATGATACCACAGTTAAAGTATGGGATTTTGCACGCTGTCAAGAAGAGTGTTCATTAACTGGTAATGTGCTTTGAATGGACCAGATATGAGAATGGGTTTTCTGTCTCTAATCTGTACAGACCAGATGGCGGGAAAGGTTTCCCGTCTCTTCTCTTATCTGTTCAGCTTATTATTATTACTTGTCTCTTGTAAATAGTTAGATTTTTTGTGCAAAATTTTTACATATTTCTATTTTCCATGATTATTCCTCTTGAATTTCATACTTTTACTTTTTATTTTAAGCCAATCAATTTGATGAGTATGACTATGCAACTTTCTTGTAAAATAAGTTCATAAATATAATTTTTTGAATTCCTTGAATCTATATGCTTTGTTTATATTTTAGTTTCCCCATTTTAATGAACTAACTTTAGAGTTATTGTTGTGGCATTTGAACTCAGCCAGGCCATGGTTGGGATGTGAAGAGTGTTGACTGGCATCCAACAAAGTCTCTATTAGTATCAGGTGTTTTAAATATCTGTTAATAGAATTCATTGTGGTTGTGAGATTCAATAATGTGAAATAATTATCCAATGAGATTTTCACGATGCAGGTGGGAAAGACAATCTTGTGAAACTTTGGGATGCTAAAAGTGGGAAAGAGCTTTGCTCATTGTAAGTGTTAACTTAAGATCTGATGTCTAATGTGTAATATGTTGTGTTTATATATTCATATTTATTTTTTATCTTACAGTCATGGCCACAAAAACACCGTGCTTTGTGTAAAATGGAATCAAAATGGAAACTGGGTATTAACGGCGTCTAAAGATCAAATAATAAAGGTTGGCAACTGTGTCATCTTTCCGTACTAAAGTTTTTTGCTCATCGTTCCCACTCTCTGCCCCGTTCTTTGACATTTGTGTCTGGCTTTTATTTATTTATCTTGGATGATTATCTAACCTTATAGAAATTAAGTTGGATTTTACTACCAAATAATCTCACCTTGTCAGATTTTTTGTACTGCTGTCCTTTGATTTTATTACTGCGCTGTTTATATCAGTGTTTTTGGCCAATATCCCCTTCCTTTTTGTTCTCTGACCTAATCCTGTTTGTTACTTTTATTTGGTTTTATTATGCATTTTTCTCTCCGAGAGTTACTGATTGTCATAGGCACTATTAATTTGCAGCTTTATGACATAAGGGCAATGAAAGAGCTTGAATCATTCCGTGGACACCGGAAGGATGTTACTAGTAAGTGACATGTTTTTTTTTCTTTGAATAAGAATAGGACAGTTTCTTTATATTAATATATCCTGCAAGAAATATTATAGGATAACTGCAGATAAGATATATAAGCTCAACAGGAAAAAAATCTGACAAGTAATTCTGTAACCCCGTTTATGTCTTTTTTAAATGTGGATGTGAAAAAATTCATTGCAACAGGAATGGTATTCTTGAATTTTTATAAATGTGTGATATTATTTAGCTGACACTAGGTTTGAAAATCTGGACTTGTGCTATAATACTTTGTGACAGAGTGCTACTAGTAGTAAAACTGAAATTGAGTCTGAATGATCTTTGACATATAATTTACCTGAAGATAGGTTAAGTTCTGATTTGAAGGGGTTGATTAGTTTTATTGCTTGTAGTTGCTGGAAACTTCAATTCAACCTGCATTACTATGAATTGGCGTTCCTATTGGTATTTGGGAAGAGTGATTTTAATTCAAGGCTAGCTTCATCTTAATTGTACGCTTTTTTTTTTTTTTTTTTTTGTGATTAGTTTCCTAGGATGTTATGGCTTTCATCAGTTTACTATGTATTTGGTACTATGCTGGGTAAAAATGTACTGTGCCGTCCAGTTGAAGCATCAATACATAGCTTCAAAGCTACTGTACGATGGCAGTGGATTCTGTGAAATTCAAACACACTTTTTTTTGGTCTAGTAGTCTAATGACCATAATTCACTCCTTAAAGGTGAATAAGTGGGATGTCTTGGCGTTTGAACACACGCCCATGCAATCAGATATCCCTACACAGCTGCCAACTGAGTAGTTAACATTTTAATGTATTATATCCTTTGCATAATTGCATCTATGGTTGACTATGCCTAATATCGTTAGAGATTATCTCTACCAGTGTTAAATTGCTTTGAAAAAACATGTTCATTAAAGCTTGATCTGAAAATTGTAAGTGGTGCCTTGATTTTGTCTTGATCACGTTGTAATCCTTTATTTGAATATTGTGTCGTGCCTACTTTTAATTGTGTTGAAGCCCTTACAATTTGAAATTTCAGTTTTATGTATTTGTTAATATTAGTTATACACTAATAAATTTCTCATGTTTTCTTTGCGGTTAATGTATTAGCTGTTGGCAGAATGATGTGTATCCGCGACCCTATTTATAAGTAGGCAAATGGTGAAGGTTGTTATGGTAGTTCATATGATATTTTTGTGGCACAAGCACAAGGCCATTTCTGCATGCAAGCAAAAAATTCTGAACATAGTTAATGACTGATTCACTTATTTAGTCCTCGATAATGTAGGGTCCTGTGAAGTTAGTCCTTGAAAATAGCAAAATTTCAAAATGATTCCTGAAATTGGAAACTCTCAATATATTAGTCCTTGTCGTGCAGTTTCAGAGGTTAAATCGACCAATCCAATAAAACTGATATATGATTGAATTTGAAGAATGAAGATTTTTAGATTCAGGGCTTATTGCGAAGTTACATTAATTTCAAAATCATTAATTGACAACGACCCTACAATTTCAGTGACTAAATTGCTGATTTACTTCAATATGTTTTGTTGGGTTATTGGGTAGTGTAACATTACTAGTATTGTAGGGAAAATTGCCATTTTCTATAATCCTCCTGCAAGTATGAGTGGAATATGAATTTTATGACTGACTCTTGAATCTTCTGTTAGCTTTGGCTTGGCATCCATTCCATGAAGAGTACTTTGTCAGTGGGAGTTATGATGGTTCCATCTTCCATTGGCTTGTTGGGTAAATTCGTTTTCTCACTTACATTTCAGTCTTCCTTTTTTTCTTCGTAGTTCTTATTCCTTCATTAAGCTATATTTATAAATTTGATTACTTGTATTTGGACTTTGTAGGTACACTTAAATGATTTTTTTTCTCACATTTAGTTAACTTATTTGGTAATTTTTATGTAATTTGCAGGCATGATACTCCACAAATTGAAATTTGCAATGCTCATGATAATAATGTGTGGGATCTTGCTTGGCATCCTATTGGATACCTTCTTTGCAGGTGAACTCAATTTTGCTGCTCAGTGCATAGTTTTATGCTTGTTTCTTTCCTCTTTCCATCTGTTCTTTGCTTTGCTATGCTTTTTGCCAATGGCTATTGAAGAAACTGACCGTGAATAAAATTTATTGAAAAGAAATGGAAGGAATATAAGACTCACATCGGACAATATATTGTCTGATGTGGGACTCTAACACTATTAAATAACTATTCACTTATTCATTCATTTGTTTTCATTATTCTGAGATTTCATGCAAGCAAAAAAATTGACAATCCATGACTAATTGAAGATTTCTATGCATTATTGCAAACATATCAGCAAATAGTTGAACGGTGGGAACGATAAATTTCATTTCCTACATAAAGTTACTTGTTGGTGTAAGGCTCCAAGTTTGATACTGGCTGTCATATAAAAAACACATAAATAGGTAGAAAATGTATAAACATCTAGAACTAGTTGCTAACCATTGAATAGAGATTATAAAATTGGACACAATATAACACTTTAACAGGTGTCCCTTCCCTCTAAAAATGTAAACCACCTGTGTAAGATCAACTTTTTTAATTGAACACCCGAATTGGGTGTCTTGCACTTCGTTGTCTGATACAAGACACTTAAAACCAGCCGTGTCCATGTTGCACAGTCAATTGCTCTCAGTTATGAAATGATGTGTGACTTGTGATTTTGTTTTCCGAGACTTGTGTTTTAGTTGTCAATTCCTATACATATTTTATATATTGAACACTACATATTTTAAATGGCTCATTTCAATGTAATTTTCATTTTGTCCTTGAATCTTCCAATTTGATGATTTGCAATTAGAAGTTCGCATGCAATTCATGATTTGACAACCTTAGTAACCTAGTTAATTAATCTATATAATATATATGTGAAAAAAGTAATAACCAACTTCAAGTTGCATGTTATGACATTAGTATTTTCTCATGCAGTGGTAGCAGCGATCATACAACAAAGTTTTGGTGCAGAAACAGGCCGGGAGACAGTGCTCGTGATAGATATAACAATGGCATGTCAGGTATGTTTTATTCTGATCAAGGAAAATGATGTAGTCTGCTCTCTCCTATCTTCAGTTTAAAATCTTACTGTCAAGGAAAATGATGCAGTATCCTCCCTCCTGTCTTCAGTTTAAAATCTAAATCTTCTACTGTCAATTGTCATCTAATTATTGGACTTTATAGTTAGTGGGCTACTGGGCTTAAATTGCTTTCTTGTTCAACATTTTCAGATTATTAGCCTTATATGGTATAACTATAAAGAGAATGTGTGTGTGTGTGAGAGAGAGAGAGAGAGATTGAATTGAGTCTTAACTCTTAAGCCTTAAGGCATGATTATTTAAGTTTGAGAATACAACCCATAATATATATAGCCGAGTCCCAAGTCAACAGAACCTGCTGATCTGATACATTTTGTTACAGCTTCCTTAAAGTTAAGCTACCAGCTGTACATTCACTTTACATTATGTAGCAGTTAAGCTAACTCCCCTCCATTCATTCTGTTGGAAAAAGTATGTAGCAGTATGTATCTATGCCTACTCGATAGTATGATAGTATGCTCCAATATGAACAATACATATCCATATAAGTGCACTCTTTCAGTATTAAACTATTCTTTAAACTTGAACTAGAGTTTGTAATATTTGAAGGTTACTTTGTTGTAGGCTGTGCAGAGTTTGGATGGTAGTTCTTCAGTTAGAAACATTGCCTATAACAAAAGCAATTAATAAAATTATTTGACATCAGTTTGAATATGTTCATCTGTCAGGATATCCTGAGCAAAATCCTGCTGCTGGTCGCGTGGGTGGTAGTTTTGCAATACCCGAAGGCCCAACAACTCCAGGGCCATTTGCCCCTGGGCTGACTCGAAACGAGGGTACAATTCCAGGTGTTGGAGTTGCAATGCCCCTGTCTATTCCTTCTGTTGATGGGCCTCAAGGGGAGCAGAAGCAGCCCCATCCTGGTTCAATGGGTGCGCCTCCTCTTCCCCCAGGTCCGCATCCCTCTCTTCTTAACCCCAACCAGCAACAACCATTCCAACAGAATCCACAGCAGATTCCACAACATCAGCACCAGGCACTATCACAACAGATGGGTCCTTTGCCTATGCCTCCAAATATGCCACAGCTACAGCATCCTTCCCATTCTCCCATGGTTCCTCACCAACATTTGCCCCGCCCTCCCCCCCAAATGCCACATGGAATGCCAGGATCTCTACAAGTACCTGCTTCTCATCCAATGCAAATCCCAGGACCTATGGTATGTGTCCAAAGTTCTTTTCTTTTGTTCTGATTTTATCTTTATTAACATAGTAAAGTTCTCTGGAAGTAGTTCCTATTTCAAGTGTTAGATTGTTCAGGTATTGTGATTTGTATTGGTGGGGGGCTAGGGGGTCTAGATATTGGGTGTTTCGGTTGATCTTTTTTGCAGGATTGGCGTGATATACTGCATATTTGGACAGTATCTGATAAATGTAACTGGAAATCTTTTGGAAGTTGGGGAACATCCATGTGCTAGGCCACTTCTAATAATTAAGATGCTTTAATTTCTCCTTAATTATTTTCATCTGTTAATGTTTTTCGGCCTCTCTTAGGCTCTAAGCCAACTAAGTTAAGCTATTTATTTTACCTTGTGGCTTTCTTTTAAATATCATTGGAATGACATATCTTACATATTGAACAGATGCGTACTCTTTACACAATTGAAAAATGTCAGCCATCTCTTTCTGTAATTGGTGTCTCATGTTTTACAATTATGCTGCAAGTAATTCACACCATTATGCATTGGATTTAAGTAATTATGCCTGAATTTGCTAAGAGGGTTGCTGTATAATGCATGCCAGTCAAATAATTCTGATGAAATTAAGATAATAACTCTCCTATTTGGCAGTTGAATACACAAAGGCAATCTACACTTGTATTGCATAGTTTCAACTGATTTTTTTTGAAGCATTTCTGTGTATTGCATAGACACAGTTTTATTTTCTGTCAATGTATTGGCTATTACATTTTTTTTATATATAAACTAAATCATATCATGTACTGTCTGTTACATTTTTTTGAACTTATTGCTGTGGCACATAACTTCAATTTTCTAGTTGGTATAATGCACAGTCTGAAATATTTAATTTTACAAATAATTGTGATGTATGTTTTTAATAATGAGAGAGTAGGCCATTAATTGCGTAGGTTATTTTTTTCTTTCCAAAATGCATAGGATCTTTTAAATTCACTATAACTTCAATGATATATAGAAGTATAATTGGTTGAAACAGAATCTAAACTCCTTATTTTTAAAAATTAAGTTACAAATGACAAATTGAAGTCAAGAGTGACACATGTCTTTCTTAACCATAAAGAGAAACACCCGACATCGGCAAAACATGTCATTCTTTGAGGGATAATACAATAAAAAAAAACCACTCAAGTAAATGTGCCTTAACTTAACTGATAGTGGATGATAAGGTATCTCTAATTTACAAATGCACATTTAGCAGAATCAAATATTTTTTTTTTGTCCTTCAGGGGATGCAAGGTGGAATGAATCAGATGGGTCCTCCAATGCCACAAGGTCATTATGTGGGCATGAATCAAATGCATTCAGGTCCCTTGCCAGCAAGTGGAGGGCCACCTCTTGGTGGTTTCCCAAACAACATGCAAGGGCCATCAAACACCAGCTATCCTCAAGGTGCTCCGTTTAACCGACCACAAGGTGGACAAATGCCCATGATGCAAGGGTATAATCCTTACCAGGTAAGATAGTATGTTGGTTCATAAACTGCTCATTTTCAAATTATGCGTGTAAGTTCAATTGTTTGCAAGTTGAAACTTATTTTTGTTTTTTACCCTCTTCTTTCATCATAAATAATATTTCTCCTTAAACTGTGTTTTGGTTTCTCAACAGAAATTAAACATCAACTTTTACAGTCTCAACAGAAACTTATTTTCATTTTTTTTTTGGTCTAATACCCTTTTTAGTCCTGTATCTTAACCTCAATGTTCATTTTGGTCCTTTAATTTAAAAAAAGGTCCATATTGGTCCTTTAACTATTCAAAATGTTTCATATTTTAGCCACTTTTGTCAAATTAGCGACAAATTTAGCGACTGATTTTTGAATTTTTCCGTTGCTAATAAGACAAAAAAGACTAATATGGAACGTTTTGAAGAGTTAAAGGACCAATATGGACCATTTTAAAATTAAGGGACCAAAATGAACCCCGGGGTTAAGATATGGGACCAAAAAGGATATTAAACCTTTTTGGTTTAATATTTCACAAGAGATGTAGCTTGGGACAGCTGTGAAGATAGGATTGTGCTTTTATGTTTGGTTCCACTTTTTCATAAAGTTTATTCATGACTTACCCTTTCATTTTGTTTATGTTTTGTCCCTGGAATAAAGATTTGTTTGCAATAAAATAGTAAAAAAGTGCCAAGAAATGGCTGTTAGACTTTATGATCTCAGACAATATTTATTTTATCGAAAGTTAGATAATTGATGGCTGTCTATCTTGCGTGTTAATTTGGAGAATTGGACGAGTTTAGCATTCCTTGTAAGTAAATCTAGTTAATTTTCTTGAAAACGTACCGTGCAATAAACTTGGGTATACTCTACAAACTCAGCCAGCCTAGTGGGTCTTGGACAAATCCAATGATTTGAATCAAAACTTGCTGAAAACATCCACAATTTATATTTTACGGCCTACACTAGAGTTTTTCAGGAACTGACTATTTCATACTTGTATTAAGATTTAAGAGTCCCACATTAGATGAGATATGGTCCGAACAAATGTTTTTAAGTGGCGGCATTCATCACATTATAAACCAGTTCTTTAGGGTTGAATTAGACCCAACCCAAGTTCTAAGATGGTATCAGAGTTGATCTAAAATCTGTTGGGCCACCTGCGATAATATTAGGTTACCGTTATCGGGTCACGTTCTAGATGTCCAATGAACCAATGTCTTGGATTGAATAGGTTCCATCTCTACTTTGGAGGCTCCAATTCCATAAATGTATTTTTTACCTCTGTCATTATGTAACTCTGTTATCATTGGATCAACAGTGTTTTCACCATTCTAGAAGTTTGGAATATTAGGTTACAGTGTTTTATTTTATTGTTCACCATTTTCTTCCTGCATATCACCGTTGTCATTTACTTTTAACACTATCCACTTCCAAAACCTGGAAGAAAGCTCCAAAGAATATGTTTAATTTTGGGTGGAAACATAGTATGAAGTCAGAATTACATTTTTCTTTAATATTGTGTTAATTAAAACTAGACAAGATTAGATATTGTGTTGGGTGTGTGGTAAGACTAGACGAGATATGTTTAAAAATGACAATATTATAGAGTTGGGATAGCACTTATAGTATAAAAGATGATGACAGTATTATAGAGGGGAGACCTGCAAATTCTCTAGTAAAGAGAGAAGATTAAATGAAGGATAGTCAAATTGCTAGAGATAGAGGAAGACTTGAAAATCTATAAGTGAAACTATTAAGAAAGATCTCGAGGTTAACGAGTTTGGTAGAAGAATGGCATTTGATATAGTATTATGATGTTGTTTTTGATCCATGTAAGCCAATTGGTTGTTGTATTAGTAAACTTACAAGTTTAACAAGTCTGAGGAGTCAAGTTTATGGACACTCCACATATTTAAATAGACTTGAGTTTTGACTACCATTGATAAAAAAGGGTCTGAAAGTATGGGAGAAATTCAGCATATGTCATTCAAAGCTAAAACTCTTCATTTTCTCTATAGGAGGAAGTGTTCTGAGAAATGTGGACATACTTGATGCATGCTCTGTTTATGCTGCTGGCACTATACTAGCATTTTATTGCTGATATTTATTGTTAGACTATGTGTTCTATTTAATCGACGAAGCAGGGCAAAAGAAGTTGGTACGATATCATCTAGGGCTAGGCTTGAAATTTTAAAGGCTACTTTAGCTGGGATAGTGACTTCTTTATAGATTGATTTCAACCTTTAACAACACCACTAGTGTTGTTTTATTTGGCGGTGTTTTATATGTTCATTTGTCATGTTTTTAAAAATATCAAATATATATCAAAATATTGATATAACCTTCCAAACTCTTTGAAAACTAGCTCGAAAACTCGGTGTTATCACGATGGTACCCAAATGGGTAATGTATCATATTTCTGGTATCACGATTATTAAACGGTACTTACTCTTTGTTTTTACTCATTACTGCAGTCTGGAAATCAGTCAGGGATGCCACCAAACGCACAACCAGGGGGGCCACATTCTCAAATGCCTCAATAAATCAAGGAAATTGCTTTGTAGTTGCCATTTAAACTCGTGTAGTTTCCCTCTCTTTTTTAAACTTCTTAATTTGCTTTGGATATTTTGGCCACGAGAAATTATCTTCTTGTGATGCCAATTATTTATAATTTTCACTTTGGATGTAATTTATACTTTAGTTCAGGTTCATAGTTATCTAAGCATAATTTATACTTTCCATTCTTAGAGTTTTATTGATTGATTCTGAATCCGCATTTGTAAAACACAAAGGCAAAATTGCTTCATAGGTCCTTTAACTCTATTTACTGATTCAACCATTTGTTTTTTAAATTGGTCATTTAAGTTTTAGAATTTTAATTACAAGGCACATGAAAAATGATTAAAAAGTCGATTGCATTCATATTTTAATACCTTCAATCTTTGGATTCACCATTTGTATTCATTTTCACTCTTTGGATTCACCTTTAATCATCGTAATATTTTCTTCCCCGGGCACGGAACACTTTCTTCAATTCTCCACAAACCAGATGTGCTTATACCTTCTTTTTCTGAGAATTGAAATATGTTCTTAATCTTCTACCAACCAACAACCTTTTCCAAGTCGTTTTTGAATCATGCAGTTGCCATTGTTAACCCTGTTTCTAAGCTCCATTTTAATCTCTCAAGTCCGTAGCCTCAAATATAGTTCCACAATTTCTTTTCCAACAAGAACTGATAGTGTGGATTTAAAAAAGAAATATGGAGATATTCTACTTAAAACAATATATATATATTTCGGTGTGAAGAAAATGAGTGGTATGGATATGATAACCATTGCAAAAAGGTGGAACAAAAAATGAGTAGTATGACCATGATAACCATTGCTTAAAGCTTTTTGGCGTGATGGTAGACATCTCTGGTTAGTGAAGGTGTTTTTTGCAAGGGTATTGCTTTAACGTTCAAGTTAGCAAAATATTGTTCTAATGTTCAAGTCACCAAAGTGAAATATGTGGAATTTGCAAGGGAACAAATGAATCATACCTTGGCGTGATGCATAATCACTTTTATATAGGAACGATGATTAGAATCGTCATCGTTGGATATAATGTGAAACGTGAGACGCTGTTGGATGAATATCAACAGTTGAAATAAAAGTGATGTTCTACTTTAGTGCGATGCGTTATGCTCTAGTGCGATGCTTCAATATGAACGTCCACTAGTTTGCTAATTGAATGTACACCTATAATTAGACTGAACATTTGTATTGGGTTGGTCTTATTGGACCATTAACCATTCCTTGCTATCTAACTTGAAGCAAGGATTGTTGATGTCAAAGTGTTGTGACTAACCCCTTAGTGAGTTTTGTTAAGCGAGTGTAAATTTATTAGAGGAATGCTTGTGGGAAAGGAGGAGTTACTTGAAAAGTTGATTGGGAGTTGGTGGCCTCAAGAGCAGAAGAATGCTTATGGGAAAGGATGAGTTACATTGAAAAGTTGGTGGCCTCAAGAACATGCACATTAAATACCAATCATTTCACTGAAACGTTCCTTTGAGGAAGACTTCCACGTGGATCCACACACTTAGAGTAGGGAGGCGAGACCCTCAGAGTACTTAAGTGCACTCGATTGACATTATGGAATCAAGGTATTATGCGGATTGTTAATTATGACCTTTGATGCTTTTCTGATTCTTGACCATTGATCTCGACACCCTTGGCTGCTTTCCTGATTCTTTGTTTTCTTGCGATTTTGGAATACTTGTTGTTCTTTAGGTGTTCTTTATTCTATGTTCTCATTGCAATATATATTATGCGTTTCTGTCGATTTTGCTTCTCCAACCTTCAAGACATGCAAAACATTAAAAGTACCCATCTCTGTCACCTTTCCCTTTAAGTTGTTTGAATTTACTTTCTAGTCATGGCCAACATAGAAAACACAAACATTCCATTCATAAATATGAGTAGTGGTGATGATTTCAGTGATGTTTCATCTCGAACTGAAGTAATAAACATCAAAACATTTGAATCGTCGTTGTTAGAGGTAAGGCACTCGCAGTGATCTTTGTTGAGGTTATAAAGTATATCGATGTGAAATGTCCAAACATGAACGTTGTTGATGTGAGGGAATCTACAAAAGTGAGAAACCCTGAAATAAACATTGTTGAAGAGAGGAAACCCGCTTCTACTAGGATCAACATTAAGAAGGTTGCACCGTGGCTTTGGCTTCCATGGACTTCATATGCTAAACCCAAAAGTTGTAAACAATCCCAGAGAGAAAATTTTACCTTATACCCCCAGACTTATCCCCATACCCCTACAATTTTTTAAACATTCCAAATTTATCCTTTTCAATTTTTTAATACTTTTTATTGCCCAGTCAAATGAGTCAAAAAGCACTATTTTGGAATTATACGATAATAACCAAATAACACAAGGTAAAGAAACCCGGAGTGTATTATAATCAAACCGGAAAATACAAACCAAAGAAATCCGATTGTTGGATTTAACAAACCTAATAACTTGTATGTGAGTTATCCGGTTCACATAAGACAATCCGGATAACATTGACATACGTTTTCCGGGTTGTGTTTTTCTACGTTCCGGATAACATGTATTGAAGAGTCACGAAACACATTTTTTTAAATTTGCATATATGAAATCTGAGCAAATAGAGAATTTACCTATACAGAATCTGAGCACACAGAGAATTTATGTTGGATACTGGATAAGTTGAAACAATTGTTCACCAAGCAAAGGTTATGGCTACAAGTGATTTTAACAGATAGAGGTCCTATCAGCAAAATGGTGCAACCAACTAATAACAACATGTAGGCTCTACATGCACAGTGCAATTTGTTCGTAGCTTGTTGATAGATAAATAGCTGCTTCAACCAATCCAAGCGATAATAAAAGCCTCTGCAACTACGAACCTCTTCAACTGCATCCTCCAATGAAACACCCAGGAGATCAATAACTTGAGTAATGACATATGAATCAGTGAACCATTCTGTAGCGTCAGTTTTTGTGGCGCAATCACTACCGCTTATGGTGCAATATTCTAATTTCTATATTTATTGTAACACCCTAAATATTCCCCCGCATAACATAAATAAAAATTAGAGTTTATTTCACAAAATCATATTTAGGATGCCACCATCCAACAAAACCTACTCAAGTACATGACATGCAATACATCAACTTTTATTAAAACAGCAGAAACATTAACAAATAGTTATTCAAAGCATAAGCATGGTTTTCAACTAATTAAAATAATCAAAGTTAGGAGATATCCAAAATCTCAAGCAAACAAAACATAATAAAAACATAACGTTCCATAACCCCAGTGCTACATATAAGAGTAGACCCAAACTAAACGAATATCTGGAAGACTCCAACTTCCACTCATATAAACTGTTCTGCTACGAGTTACTTACACGATACCCATGAAAAGGCAACATTCAAACAGAAGGGGTGAGATATCGTAATTATATAAAGGAATACATAATAATAAGTGAGCAACAAATTATTACAAGCACAACATACATTCCAACAACATATTCCACGCCACCAACACAATGAGGCCACACAAATGCAATGCAATGAGACTCAACAAATTGACTCAATGCATGTGGTACCGAAACGTGAACTCTCAGGTTCACCGCTACGATCCCCACCTAGGATCGAAGCTCACCAAATGAACCTTTGTCCAAAACTGTTACCAAGTAATGCTTCACTAATCCATCACCATAGGAATTAGCTACTCGCACCCAATCAACACAATGGGATTGAGGCTTACCCATAACTCGTTACCATCACCATAGGTAACGCTTCACTAATTTGATCACCATAGAATTAGCTAATCGCACCCAATCCATCACCCTAGGATTGAGGCTCATGGACCACCGTCCAACACCATGAATGCATGCAACATATTATGCATACAACACAATAACATGCACAAAGACCTTTACCATAGTCAGTGTACCTCTCGCCACTAATGGCCACCATGCACCAAACAACTGCCAAAACATGCAGCAACAACAACACAATATAACAAGCAATAACAATGCATTTGCACACGTTTCACAAAACAACATAAACTCAATATGCATCAAATACATGTTCACACATGAAATAATTTGAATTCTGGTACTAATTTTTTTTAAAGTTAAAGTACATTAAACCAGCTTTCCAACGCTTCAAACGGGGCGTCAGTCAGACACCCGAAACTAAAGTTATGAATTTTTGAAAATTTAAAAAAATTCTAGACACAACGATGAGTTGTTAGTTCAAGTGTTTGGTGGCTGTATTAAGTTGTGGCAAAGTTCTTGCAAGGCAGATTTTTCTTCACAAGGAAGCAACTTCTACCACTTGCAAGAAGATAGTGATTAGAGAAATGAGAGAGATTCAACTTGGTTTCTAGTTGATTCCGGTGTAGTTTGGATGTTAGGAGTGTGTTTTATTTATAGGAAATCTTGGAGAATGAGAGATATGGGCAGATTGTGCCAACTTGCCAAGTTTTCCCTTTTTGGAGGCAAAATGAGCAAATCCAACTTGGGATTTCTTTTCTGAGCATGAGCAACCTTCCTACGTGTTTCAATAACACCGATAGCCTGCAAATAGTTGACATGAAGTGAAGGAAGAGAGTAGCTGATGCAGTAGCTGAGGTGTAGCAGAAAATGCAAAAAGTTTCTCTCTCCTTGCCACTTGCATCCACTTGCTTGAAAAAATAAACAATTCCAATAATCCAATCTCTGGTTTTTGATCGTGGTAATCCATTTTAATCTCATCAATTAAGTCCCTAAACATCAGAGAATGAGTTAAACAAGTGATTAGAAGAGGTTTGAGTGGTTTATGCATCAAAATGCAAGTGCTGAACTTGGTTTTGTGACATGAAAAATCCCTAACTTGCTCTCTTCGATTCTCCCTAACCACAAAGGCTGTGAAAATGCTCTTGTATTTTTTTAAAATCCCTAAATATGATCTACAATGTTCATGTTTGTACAAAGTTCATATTCTAAAGGGAACTAGGTCAAAAATCTTC